TAGAATGGAAAAAAATTTGTTTGACGGAAGAAAACTATCACATAATTCTTCCTGCGCCCTTACAACCAAATGTATAAAAGTTTACAATCACACTGAGAAAACATGGTCACCCATGCACAAATTTTCGACAACTGAAAAAGCAAGCCAAAGTGGTTTACGCATATAGATAACAAGATTGCCATATACAAAAATGTGTTTGCGGGTCGGAAAAATCTTAAACCAAGATTTTATGAGCGCTGTTCAAAGGTGCCCTCTCCCCTACCATATAGTACTTTTCGTACACATGAATACACGCTTTCCAAACTCTCCTCATATCGACCCTACTTCTCAACGTTATTTTACATTCCAAATTTCAAGTTTTTAGCTCAATCCATTCACATGCTACGAAATTGTACCAAATTTAGTGCATTTTCGTACTTTTCGGATAGTTATAGTTCGAATTTCCAAAAACCCTTTAGTACATCTATCCTACAGTCAATCAACGACCACCAACCCAAATTTCAGAGTTCTAGCTCCACCGGTTCGCCAAATACAAATGGTATCATATTTAGTACTTTTCGTACCGTTCTAGTACGAATTTACAAAAACCAAGCCTTATCTGTCACCTTTGGACCAAGAGTGACCCTCACCCAAAATTTCAAAATTCTAGCCTCAGCCGTTTCGTCTGGGCGTTGATGAATCGTTAAATCAGTAATCGTTACTCTTTTATTAGTATAGAATTAGTACTTTTTAGTACTTTTCGTACCGTTCTAGTACGAATTTCCAAAAACCCAGCCTTATCTGTCACATTTGGGCCAAGTGTGACCCTCACCCAAAATTTCAAGATTCCAGCTTCAGCCGTTTCGTCTGAGCGTTGATGAATCGTTAAATCAGTCAGTCAGTCAATCACTTTACTCTTTTATTAGTATAGATAAAAAGGTCATAAGCACACATTTTCTTATAGCCGACAACGGGATGATAATTTTTTCTGTAATACACCATGAGCCTAATTTATTTGATAAAGACCCATGATATAATAAGAAATCAGATATAAATTATTCCTAGCTTTGTATATATGAAGACCTAAGTGTTCTGTAGAGAAGAGCTCAACTATAGTATTCTATATGAAGACCTGAGTGTCCTGTCCTCAAAAATAACCTCTAAAGAAGACAAAAAGGCCATGAGCTGACCTTTTCTAATAGCAGACAACGAGGTGATATTTTCTTATGTAAAATACAATGAGCGAGATTTATTTTATAGATTACCATGAGCAGGTTGTTTTCTATAGAATACAATGCAAATGAGAAGTCCACGGAAGACTGAAGAAAGAAAGAAAAAGTGCTTTAGAAGGTAAGGCCACCACCTATACAAGGTCGTGGTGTGACTTTTCTTCTTTAAATAGAAGACCATTAGCAGGTGTTCACATATGGAAGACCAACCTATTTTTTATAGAAGATTATATAGTGATCACCTTCCATAAAAGAATATGACTTATGTAGAAAAATGTAGTATCCTTCTATAGAAGAACGTGAAGAAATCATATTCCATAGAATAGATAGTATTCATTCACCACTGTGGGTGGTTGTCTTCTTCAGAGTTCATGTGGCATTTTTTGATAGAAATCCGATGTTTCTCTACAGAAATGGAATTCTTCTAAAGGACACTAAGATTAGTCTACACAAGACCTCTTCCATTAGCAGGTATTCTCATATGGAAGGCTGTAGACTTGTATTTTCCTCATGTATAGTATAACTATAGCCGTCTATAAAAGGCTATGACTTCTATAGGAGAATATGGTATCCATCTATAAAAGAACATGAGAATATTGTGTTCTATAGACCAGGTAGTATTCTTTCACCACTGTGGGTGGTACTCTTTTACCGAGTTTCTGAGTTGGTTTGATAGAAATCCGTCAGATGGTTTTCTATAGAAGCCCATAATTTGGCCTTTTTCTGCAGAAGAAAAAACATCTAGAAGGTCTACTTTTTTCAAAAGAGTTTAAGCTGGTCTATAGAAAATCACGATTAAATAGACCAGTTGCTCTTTTTCTATAGAACTCCAAGTATTCTTCCTATTTAAATTCAAGAGCTGGCCTTCTACATAAATTCACTAAATCGATTTTGTCTACCATGGTCTTCTTCTTGTACAGAATACAGTGAAGTGATATTGAAATTATATCCTTCTATAAAAAAAACGTGATATTCTTTAATAAATGATCGTAACGAAGTATCCCGTTATATACGACCTTCCCGGGGATTTCTTCTATAGAAAGCCGTAAGGTATATAGAAAATCTTGATATAAATTTCTTCCCTTGAAGACTGTGGGATAGTTTTTTCCATAGACGACAATGCGTTTGCATTTTTAATAGAAGATCATGAGGTAGACTTCTACCGTAGGAACTGAGAGGTGGCCTTCTTTTATGGAAGATCTTCTGCTCTTTTTCTATAGAATACAAGGTATTCTTCCTATTATAAACGAAGCTCTGATATCCAAAGAAATTCTAGAAATTTCCTTTTCCTCTTGATGCTGGTGTCCTTCTATAGATGACCCTAATCAGATCTTATTTTCAATTTAAATCCATGAACTGATATTCTACATAAATTTAAGAAATCGATTTTTTCTATAATAGAAAATACTGATCTAGTCTTCTTATACAGAAAACACTGAGGTGAAATAAATGGAAGATCGTAACGTAGTATCCCTTTATATAAGATCTGGACAGGGATTTATTCTATGAAAAGCCACAAGATGTAGATGTTCATGAAGTAATATTTTTCAATAGAATACCAAGGGATAGAGTCTTCTATAGAAGACAATGAGTTAGACAACAATTCAATAGATTTTATTTTTCTATTGAAGAACATGAACTAGTGCACTTCTATAGAAGGCCCTCAGTCGATCTTTTTCCCTACTTAAACCCATGAGCTGATATTCTACATAAAATCAAGAAATCGATTTTTTTTTTTCGATAGAAAATCATGAGCTGGCCGGACTTTTTGTACAGAAAACCCTGAGGTGATATTCTTCTGTAAAAGAGAATATAAAAAAGGGAATATTTTTTCAATAGAAGACTAAGCGATAGTTTCTTCTATGACAATAACTTGGTCTTTTTTATATGAAAATCATGGTCTGTGGGGTTTGAACATGGGAGAGATTTCTTTTATGGAAGATCATGGGCTCTTATTTTTCTATAGAAGACAATGATCTAGTACTCTTTCCTATTGAAGACTATGGTGTACTAATGTGATTCTTCAGGGCACCCTGAGCCAATCCTCTTTCCTTTTAAAATGATCTGATCTTCTATAAAAACACGGGCTGATATTCTTCTATAGAAGTTTTCGAGCTGTTCTATATCTATAGAAGACTCAGAGCCCACGTGTTTTCATTTTAAAGACCAAGAGCTGCGGGTTTTTTTAGAGAGCACAGTGGTATTTTCTACCACAACGTATTCTTCTATATCGGAAAAAAAATTTACATTTTACAAAGTTGTATTCTTCTATGGAAAGCCCCAGGATTGTGTTCTATAAAATGTCACATCGGTTTCTATTACAGAAAATTACAGGGTTTATTAAATCACCAGGTATCCTTTTTCCATATAGAAAAACATAATTTTTTTTTATAAAAAGCCGATCGAACTTTTATAGAAAACCTTGAGGTCTTCTTCTATAGAAAATGGGAAACCCTACTTTTGTCGCAAACCTAAACGTATTTTTATTCTTACATAGAAAGTTATTCTTCTATAGAATATCTTTTGAATGTATTTTTCTATAGTAATCCCGAAATTCGTAACCTCATGATGTTCAGAAGAGTTTCTTCTATGGAAGATAAATTCTTCGTCTTCTATGGGAAGCCAGAAGATCTTTTATGTAGAATGTCTTCTTCAATAGAATACCGGATATTTCTTATAGAAATTCGAAAAACCGTATGCAGAAGATCGGACGGTTTTAATTCATAGAAAGCCAGAAGGTATTTTCTATAGAAACCCAGAAGGTATTCTTCTATAGAAGGTCTTCTTCTGCCACCAGTGGATCTTCTTCTATAGAAGGCTAAAAGACCACAAGATTTTCTTATAAAAAGGCAAAATATATTTTCTTATAGAAGACCGGATGATCTATTTTGTATAAGTCCCGAGCTTCTTCTTCTATAAAAAAAGTAAGCCTTCCTTTAGAGAACGCCAGATGATCTTCTTTTATATAGGTCAAAAAATGTTCATCTATTGAAAATCACAACGTCTTACACAGAAAATCATAATGTATTTTCCTATAGAAAGCCCGAATGTCTCCTATTGAAAACCAGAAGATATTCATTTATAGAAGACAGGAAGATTTACTTGTCTGAAAGTTCTCCAAAAAAAAAGCACTCTTCTATAGAAGACCAAAAGGCCTTTTACCAAAAATTATTAAACGGTCTTCTTCTTTAGATAACGAAGAGGGCTTCTTCTATAGAAGGACTCCCCTTTAATAGTAGACCCGAAGGTCCTATAAGACCAGACTTTATAAAAGAACAGATAATGCAGAAGAAATTGAGGTATTCACATAGAAGACAAATTTACGTCATATAAAAATTCTATTTTCATTAAGTTCTAACATCAGCAAATCTTCGTCGGTATTCTATTGGAGACCAACAGTTATTCTTCTATAAAATGCCACCAGAACTTTTATTCTGTAAAAGACCATCAGGTCGTACTTTATAGAAAACAAACAGGACAACACAGATCACTTCAAGGTATCCTAAGGAAATCAGAAGTTCTTCTAAATATATAATCATTTATAGAAAACCACAGACTTCTAAAGAAGTCATCAGAACTTTCTTTAATAGACGAAGTTACAGGCTTATACCAACGAAGATCACAATGTCATAATTAAAAGAAGGTCGCATGGTCGTTTATAAAAGACACTATGCCCCTTTTCAGATATACTTTTATTTAAGACCAAGAACACTTCTTCTCAAGGTGAAAAATCATATGGTTTTTTCTTGTAATAAAATTATTTTAGGTATTGATAGTGGGTCTGGGACTTACCTTGCATGTCATCGGCTCGATCGATTTTTAGACCCTGTTGTGCCACAGCAGCTAGTCCAACGGCATACTCCTTATCGTATTTGGCTTTGAGTTGGATGGTACGTTTCATGATTTCCATTAGGCGCAGTTCGACATCTTGACGGGAGATTAAGGCCTCGTGGGCGGCACGGCCTTGCAGGGCCGTTGAGAAGCCCATAGTTTCTTATATAAATTTAACAACAGGGAGAACGAAGAATTTTCGGAAAATTTGAAAAACAAAACGCGAGCTACGCGTGATACACTTATTAAAATTGCCGATCACCTGTTGCCGTTGCAATTAAAAAACATTACGAAGAAAAGAAAAAAATCACTCGCTTATTATTCGTGACAAAATTGTTCGCAGAAGCACGTGTTGCTAATTTTCGGGACAAATTATTTTAGGCGCCTTCCGATTTTACTTTTCCTTTTTTAATTGCCAATATTAAAAATCTATTTTTCTAGTTGCTTTTCCAATTAGAATTTTTGGCTTTGACAATTTTTTGAAATATTTGTCACAATCGGCCTGGGCAGAGACAGAGGCACAGTGATGGTATTATCATCATCATGATTCTTAAGAAATGTATGGGCCAGTTGTGTTATTTTTTGCTGTAACGAGACAACGAATAGAGAATTAAAATTAAGAATATTTTCTTTCCAAAATGAAATAAAAAAATTAAATAAAAAAACGAATAGAAGAAAGACGTTTTGATGATGACAAAAAAGTAGAAGAAGGGTGAGGCCGGCCTCGGTTGTTTTGTTTTCAGTTTCAATTTTGTATATTTGGAGAGTGCCAAAAAATACAAAATTTGTTTTTTGTTGTTGTTGAATATTTATTGTTTTTGTCATGTCCACAACGAAATAGCGTCATGGTGTGGAGCGGTGCGGTATGGTGGCCCCTCCGTTTCAAAGAAAAGAAAACTTTCACATTTCGCTATCAGTCTCTTACCGCCACCACTGCGGATTTAGCCAATATGTATTCATGTGTGTAAATTTGTTTCGATACAATTTCATCATCGCGCTAATGGTAATGATGATCATTTATTGCCAAAGTGTTCGGTTGGTTGTTGCTGGTTGGCCATATTGACAAGTTGCTGTTGCTGACTAGGTGGCTGTTTGAATGGCAGAATGACTGACTGGCCTGCCTGCCTGCCCTGTCTCTTGGGCTAATGTGCTAAATAGTGTTGATGCTTTTTTTGAAAGATTGTTTTGTTTTTTTTCACTCTTTTTGGAGTTTCCTTTATTTGGCCGGGTAATTCTCTGGTGTGGCGTTTATTTTATTTTTGGTGACACCATCACTTTTTCACTTTCCGGCCTCCATGAAGTGGTCGTTTTGAGATTTTTTTCTGTTTTGTTATTTTTTTTATACCCGCATTCTGCTGCTGTTGTTGTGTGACCTATTTTGCAGTAAACAGCACACTGCAGTCAAGTCAAATAACCCAAATATTGTTCCGGTGGATTTATGTATGTCTCCTACTTTGATATTTAAAAAAATTACTTCAATTCTTAAATGAATTAAAAAATAAAACATTGGTATTCTAGAGAAGGCCATGAATGGTATTTTACTATACAACTCCATCGGAAGGACTTGTGCTATTAATATTTATACAAGTTAGCCTAGCGAAACCCTTCCTCTAAATATGAAGTCATTTTTTTCTGTAGAAAAGAATCTGAATAACAATACTTTTTCTGATAAATACTCAAACATCGAGGCCATTAAAAAATCCGTATTCTTCAAAAAAATATTTTTTTAAATAATAAAATCTTAAGTCACTGAGGACAGATTTCTTTCTATAGAAAAAATCTCCAGTCACTGCGGATATATTTCTTGCTTTGGAAGTCTATGAATATTTTGGCTTGACTCTAGTTTAGTAAAAACGATCAAATATTTCCCCTAATCACAGGGATATATTCTTTTAATTGGGGGACGTACTTGGTTACCCGGTTATTGGACCCGGAAGTTCGGGTTCGGATACGGATCCGGTAATATGAAATTGGTATCATTTTAAAGCTTATAAACATACCTTTCCATTGGGATATAAAAGGCTTATCTCAAACTGTTTTGGAGATGTAATCAAAAAACTAGGTTTTGGGTCCCGATTTTTTCGAAAAACTTCCTAAAAGTCGAACTTGGTTTTTTACTAAACTAGAGTTGTTCCAATATTTTTTCTTTATCGTATTCTGCTGCAGAATTTCGTCCTCCATGCATTTTTATAGAAATCCTCTGTCACGGAACACTTTATTTTCATTCAGAAAAATAAGCTCACTTAAGAGACTTCTTCTTTGGTAAACCTAGGATCTACTTCTGTTGAAGCTAATAGATTGTACTTCTACTGACAGGTCTTCTTCTATAGGTGATCAGCAGATCTTTCTCTTTTGGAGATCTACAGGCTTTCTTCTATAAAAGACCTCCAGGCTCAGTCTTCAATAGAAAAGGACAACATAGTTGTTCATGCCCACCTAAGGAAACCTGAAAGCTTTGCAAGAAGAAGGCAATTTTTTATAGAAAAAAACCCAAAACCAATTTTTTTCTACAAAAATAAAAAAAATCCTAAAATTCTTTCAATAAAAAAAATGTGTCATTGAGGATCAATTTTTCTATAGAAAAATTCTGGTAAGCAAATATTTTGTCTACACAAATTGGCCTAGGACCAGAAACATCCAAACATGGCGTGTAACCTTTTGATGAGGGTTATTCAGAACCATGGACCCATATTGAAAACGATCATGAATAAGTATTTTACCCACCATCATCACGGGATGCCAATTTACTGCCACTTCGTACCCTTATAATAGCGAAAATATATCTGAAATCTTTTATATGGAGACTATGCCATAGTCAAGTGATGTCAGAAGAAAACCAAAATACCAAACTAAAGATATTCGGGTTGGAAACATGAGCTGTGACCTTGAACATACCGAAAATCGCTTGTGACCTTTATTTTGGGGGTATTTAGAAACTTCGACTTATAATGTCAATGTTCAGTGAAGAAGTTATTGTTTATCCACCAAGGTGCCTGAATGCCAAATTACAGCTACTTCGTAATGGTAAAATATAGTAATTTAATTTGGAAAATGTAGCTGCGATCATCATAAACTTACTACGATCAGCAGGAGCTTTCATCGGTTAGAACAATATCTCTGAAATTCTAAAATAACGCAAATTAGTGGTACCATTATATCGGGAGCTATAACTGACCATGAATAAATATTGTTAATGTTATCAAAAAATCTAATTTAAGCCATCTCGGTTGAATTCCGCAAAATACTGAAAATTGGAGATTATATTTAAGCGTGGACCTGAATAGAAAATTTTTAGTAGGAAGCTTTGCTATCCAATGAGAACCAATATATAATTACAGTCAATTTGGTTATAACACGTAGGAAAGAAATACCGAAAATAGAAGGTACCGGAATATGGAAGTATATCAAATGTGGACCCATACTAATAATTTTTAGTAGGGAGATTTTGTTACCCAATGGGAACTCAAAGTACCAAATTGCAATGAATTCGATTTAAAACGTGTCAAAACACCTCAAAAAAACACCGCGAATAATGGAAAAATTTACCGATATTGATATTTTTGGCTAGGGAGATGTGTTATCCATAGAATTCCACAGGTATATTAAACACCTTATATATCTGAAACACCTTTAGAAGAAGTTTATGTGTTTATGCTACCTCTTACCGGTCTCCTATACATAGAAGATATACTAGAATAGTTTCTAGTATGTCTTCTATGTATAGGAGACCGGTAAGAGGTCTACTGAAGATCAACAAGCGACCCTTAAGTCTACAGCAACCCTCTAGAATGAGATATAATTTAGAACGGAGCTTGAAGGACAAGCTGAATACATTTTTTCTAGCAGTAAAGCGGTCATGATGTTTGGAATTCAAAATACCTAAAATTGTTTGCCACTCTTCGGACCTCATGTCTGTCAAGTTGTTGCATTTCGGAAGGAAGTTTGTTTACCTAACAATAACACAGAATCCCAAATTGCAACCACTCCGGTAAGAAAAGATGCGATCAAAATACCTAATAAGTTTTGTATCCACTAAAAAATGAAAATGTCAAATTACGGACACTTCTGTTAAAAAAAATAGAATCATAACCTTGAATGCCAATTACAGCCCCTTTGATTGAAAAATTAATCTATGCCCTCAGCAACCTAAAAAATAAAAAAAAAATCTGCAGCACCTTAATTTGGGCGCCATGTCAAAAAATTGAACTATATTGTAATTTGTCTGCGTGATATATCTAAGCATCAAATTAATCTGAAACTGTTCTGCAAATTCGCTTTTTAGCCATCTATTGAAAAATACGTTTAGGTCCATCAAAATACTTTAAATTGTGCAGGACTTTTATATGGGTGGAATCCAAAGTTACACCCACTTTGGTTGTAAAAAATACCTAAAATGGGGCAAGAATTTTATATTCAGGCTATATAACACTCAAAATTCTGTGAACTATTTTTTACACATTTTTATATATTGGGGATATATTAAAACGCGGACCTAATTATGCAATTTTCATTATGAAATATCCTAGGAGTCAAAAAAATTATCGATCGATTTTAATTTTTCAAGATTTTCAATGGGCTGATAAATCAATACCAATCAATACTTGTTAAGGTTTGTAACTTTGCACATATATATTTGAAGATTGTTTTTTGTAATTAAAGAAAAGTCCTTATTTTTGATGACGGGCATGATAACTCCTCACTGGAACATCGGAATCCGAAAATTCCAACGGTGTTAGAAAGAGTACATGTCTATCTCTCGTATGAACTAGGATTATTGGCTTCGCTATAAAATTAACAAAATGGGGGACCTTTGAAAAAACATTTTTGGAAAATCGCCGATTTTTGACCAAAAGCCAAATTAAAAAATAAAGAAGATCTTCACCGATTGGCTTTATCCTAGCTCATACGATAGCTATACACTCACAGAGAAACGTGTAAAAATTTGGAATCGATTGGGTTATTAGTTTTTGAGATATCGTGCCCGCCATTCGCAAAAGAGAAAAACGCGTTTAAAGTTTGAGAAGCCCTTTAGTCGTCACTTGATGCTGACACAATAAATCGGAGTTCTTGAGATTTTCACTTGAAATTCTTGACATTCTTGAATTAGTGTAGATTCGAATTAAATCAAAAAAAAATTTGACCCCGAAAATGGGGGGT